GACTGACCTAGGGTGAATTTTTAAATAGGGACAATTTTTAATGATTTTAAACAAGACACAGCTACAAATATTTGGTTTTTAATTGGCTTTTATAGGGAAATGTTTTGTATTGTTTTTAATATGCTGTGAGCCGCCCTGAGTCCCATGGGGGAGAAGGGCGGCATATAAGTCTTATTATAAATAAATAAATAAATAAAATAGATCTGATATTCATCAATAATAATAATAATAATAATAATAATAATAATAATAATAATAATAATAATAATAATAATAATAAAGTTAGAAGGGGCCTTGGAAGTCATCGAGTCCAACCCCCTGCTCAGGCAGGAAACCCTACACCATTACGGACAAATGGCTGTCCAGTTTCTTCTTAAAAACCTCCAATGTTGGAGCATTTACCACTTCTGGAGGCAGGTTGTTCCACTGGTTAATTGTTCTAACTGTCAGGGAGTTTCTCCTTAGTTCTAGGTTGCTTCTCTCCTTGATTAGTTTCCATGCGTTGCTTCTTGTCCTGCCCTCAGGCGCTTTGGAGAATAGCTTGACTCCCTCTTCTTTGTGGCAGCTCCTGAGATACTGGAACACTGCTATCATGTGCCTCCTCATCCTTCTCTTCATTAAACTAGACATACCTAATTCCAGCAACCGTTCCTTATATGTTTTAGCCTCCAGTCCCCTAATCATCTTTGTTGCTCTTCTCGGTACTCTTTCTAGAGTCTCAACGTCTTTTTTACATCGTGGTGACCAAAACTGGATGCAGTATTCCAAGTGTGGCCTTACCAAGGCATTTTAAAGTAGTATTAATACTTCACGTGAAGTATTCTGGAGTAAGGTTGAATTAATCACTACACTAAGTAACCTTGTTGCTCAGAAAATGTCTGCCTGTAAAAAAGCATTTATTTCAATTTACCAAGATTTAGTTCCAAAACAACTGTGGACAATTCACAATATAGTTAACAACAAAAACACAATATGAAAGAAAATAATATAGGATCTGGTCACTTTGTACAAATTCCTGAGTCTTGCTTATTGTGGGACAACAATGTTCTTTTTAACTCATACTTTCCACTTTTACCTGTTACTATGTCCTTATCATTGTCACATTCATATTTTCTGCTATTACTGACAAATGAATTCATTATGATTTTTATGGTGTGCACTTTTAGATGCCTTCTCCCAAGTCAATGGATAGACTGTTGCTACCCTTCATGGACCCATTACACTTCAGCTGTTACTGGAGGATAATATCCCTGCGGTAGACATTCTGAGGCAAAATTTTACCTCATACAAGGAACATCTGTCAAGTTTATAGCTGAAGCCGAGCTTGTCAGCAAACTGATGTCAAAATACTTAAAAAAGCACAGTATCCTTTAAAGTCAAATATTTCCAGTAACTTGTATCAGCCCTAGCATCATTTGTACAAGCATTCAGAAGAAAAGTCACATATTTTATACTAGTAGATTTTTTAAATATATAACTTACAATCTTCTCTTGGGAATTTTGTACACAGTATACCTGTGTGATCTCTATAGCATCCTGGCTGTATTGATGTTCTGAGAAATAAATCAACGAAATAAAGAGAATAGTATATAAAAAGCTGATGCTACTGAATATCAGATTTAGACTGATTTTCAATTTCCCAGTTAATAATATGAAATTCCTTTTCAAATTGGAAGGGAAAAACTGTTTATGGTAAGTATCACAGAGGCAAGTACCTTAATTTTTCAAGTTTCCATTTTATTTTACAAATCAGAAAATGCAGATCAAATTTACACTCCTTAAGGCAAGAGTCCCCATGCATGTAATACACATTTATATTAAATCCAAAAAAGACATCCAACATGGGAACTCATGTACAAAGGGAAGGCTAGGATGAGCAACTGTAATTTATTAAAGAACTCGACAAATCTCCCTGATACAGGAACTTTTGAGATCAACTTGCTATGAATTATACAAAGGAAAGAATTGCAGACAATAGCAAGGATTTCTGATAGTCTTAGTACTGCATACAATCAAATCAACATTATTAAGAAAAAATACAGTAGTGCATACAAAAAGTGAAAATAGAATCCATTCACATCACTGCCTGGATATCACTGTGCCAATGGTCATATTGCACTCAAGATTGTAATTTAGGGTTTTGGTTAAAAGTTAGCTTTTCCCCATTTTGGCAATCAGTTCATCGCAAATCTTCGTCAACTCTTCTATTTCTTTATTCTGAAAGGAACACAGATGCACAGGAAGAAAGAATAAACATATTTTAGTTAAAAGCTATATTGCACTCTTTTTCAATTAACAAAATAACATTTGTTGCCATTAAGAATATAATACATGCTGGGGAAAGAGCAATATCTGTCTGCAATTAATGCTGAATCATTAGCAGCATTCAGTTCTGCTTATACCAGTGGTGGCAAACCTATGGCACGGGTGCCAGAGGCGGCACTCGGAGCCTTCTCTGTGGGCACACGTGCCGTTGCCCCAGCCTTGCCTCCCCCCGTGACCCCCTCCTCACCAGCAGCCCTCCTGGAGGAGAGTCGCCCCTGAGCGTGGCCCACGCAGAGCAGTGCAGCCAAGGACATGGCAGCCAGGCAGCGTAGACAAGACTCTGCCCTCATGCCCCATTGTGCATAGTTGATGCGGGGTGCGGGCAAAGGGCGTGGCCGCCATGGAGCTGCTGGGCGATCTGCGGTGGGCCCTGGAGGTGGTGAATGGCCCTGTGGACAGGCGGGGTGGAGCGGGGGCAGGGCCAGTTTTTGGGCACTTGTTCTCTAAAAGGTTCGCCATCACTGGCTTATACCAATCATTTTGCTTAATCTTATCACTGTGGGACTTTTCAGGAAAGCTTTCTTTCTTATGCCTAAAACTTTTCTTAGATTCAAATCGTTTTAAAAGGATAAATAGCTGCCTGGTAGAAGCCAGATTTCTACTAACAATAGGCTAAGCCAGTGGTGTTTCAACCTCAGCAACTTTAAAGGACTTCAATTCCCAGAACTCTCCCAGAATCTATATACTACTAAAACGCTCATGTCTGTTTGTCTGTGCTCAATTGGGCACATTGGTGGATCATAGAGGAACCATTTTTAAATCAACATACTTCCAATGGGACAACTTTTTAATGCACTAAGCCACGGTCACCCATCCATGAATTAAGGCTGGAGTGAGTACTTGTTTCATTAAAAGCAGATAAATAGTATGATGGTGCAGTGCTTTAGTGTTGATCTCCAACAGGCCTTTGTACTAGGAAGGAGTGCAAACATGCTGCCTGCCTACAGTGCTTTGAAACCTTTGAAACCTGTGCTGATTATGGGAAAAGACCCAGCTGTTTAAAGCACTGTAGAGACACGTTCTATTAACATCGCCTCCCATTCCAATGTTTTTGGAGCTCAAACATGAAGTGCTACACAGCCCCAATAAACAGTAAAATACTAAGCCTACCCAATCCTTGAACTGTCCAAACACACGGTGAAATCTAACCTCTGCTCTGTCTGATGTTACTACATCACCTCCATAGACAATTAGCCACCACCCATAGACAACTCCGCCCAGAGTTACCCTGTGGTAAGATGGGTGGCCAATAGATTTGATAAATAAATGGGTAATACCGAATTGTTGAGGCAAAGCCACCAGCAGCACCACAAAAGCAATTTAAAGAATTCTTGAAGTTTTTAAGGATAGCATTTGACAGGGAAAAAAGATTTGACCATTTTACATTATTAAAGTAAACTGCTATATAAGCTTAGGGAGCAACTACCACCGTATTTCCTCTATAAGCAGCTTTGTACAGGTCAGAGCTAGTCACCTTTTGTTCCAGTGTTCTTTCCAATGCATCCACTTTTAACTGCTCTTTACGAAGGCTGGCCTGGTAAGCTGCTTGTTCTTGCTGAGCCTTTCCCCGAACTTGTGCAATTTCAGCATTGGCTCTGCAGAAACACAGGTATATTGAGTCCCAAGGAACCTCTCTCTCTCGCTCCCCCCCCTCTCCCTCTCTCTCATGCATTCATGTCAGTGTTGACTCCTGGCAACTGGCCAGACTAGTTCCTGAAGTTTTCTTGGCAAGATTTGGTATACGTTTATAAAAAGCATACTGGTATACCAGCTTTGCACATTTACATTATACTGTATTATGTAAGATTTGACATTTGGTGCTTAATTGAACCTTTCCTGGATGTTTTAAAAAGTAGGGTTTTTTTGCCTATAAAAATGGAGGGGAACCTTAAGGAGTGGCAGAATACACTTTATAGGAATCAGATCAAAATTATACGTAAGTACTAACAAGAATCAGATGGAAAAAGAAAACTCCAGAATTAATTTATAGCAGACTTCAGAACAGAAGCTCCCGGTTGAAATTCAGGATACCTCCCAAGTCCTAATAAAATACCTGTCCAGTTTTTCCTCTGCATGAATCTTGAGGGCTTGATATCTCTGCTCTTCTTTTTTAACTCGTGATAAATATTCTTGTGCGCATTTCTTTAATACTTCTTCATTCTTTAATGGGAAACATAAAAATAGCTTAACAACAGACAATAAAGGATTCACTGAAAGTTGTAGGCTTTTGACCATACTCTACAATTTTAGGTAGTAGATCATTTTATTGAAAGCAAACATAAAAGCAGTAGATTTCCTTAAAATAAGAGAGACAGAAATATAAATGCTAAGCAGTCATCTCTGTATGAATTCTACAGGCCACGCATGGCATATGAAGCTCAAGCAGTGTAAGAATCCCTTTTCTGCAAAGTCCAATGTCTACAGAAAACGGTTGCTTCGGATTTTTGGCCAAGTACAAAATTGCTTTTAAAATACAATGAATGAATCAAAAAAATCAATTAAGGGAAAATTAGTTCAAGCTATACTTTTTGCACAAATCAGGGAATAACGTATAATCTTGACCCCACCACAATTATGATAACAATGTACTTTCAGTGTCCCCATTGTGCTAGGCAAGGAGTCCCCAACTTTGGCCACTTTATGACTTGTGGACTTTAACTCCCAGAATTCCTCAGCTAGCATGGCTGTCCACAAGTCATAAAGTGGCCAAGGTTGGGACCCCTGTGCTAGGCTCTGTGTTTCCAGACTACAACTCCAGAGCCATCTCCATGCTCACAGATATATTGCACCACAGTGTGACTTCTTTGAACTCAAAGGATTACCATAAACTGTTTATACATATTCTTGCAATATGCATAACCATGTATACCAAGTTTCTTTGGCAGTTATCTCCTTTTATTAGAGCTAGGTGGCAGCACTTTCAGGCTGATGTGTCTCAGGTTATTAGATTAACGATGGTTGCTATATAACAAATGGGTTAAAAGTGTTCTGTCAGAAGAAGCACTGAGGATGGAAAGGAAGCTTGAGAATTGGCACATCCAAGAAGAATTCTTATCCCCAAACCCCTGAGTGCAAGGGCCTGATCTTCAGCCAAAAGCCTGCTGGTGGATCAGGACCCCTAGTGAAATGAATACAAAAATGCAGCCATAACTCCAGACCTATACATGCACCTGAGTGAATGTAGGTGTTTTGATGAAAGCATTATTCACTGTGACTTACCTTCCTAAATCCTTCAAGAACTTCTTTCATTTTTTCATATCTTCTGAAAAGATCTGCTAGAGATTTTTCCACAGAGTTCAGGTCAGCTAATGCTTGCTCTTTTTCCATAATAAGTTGCTGGACAGTGTGATGGGACATGGATTTTTCTCTCTGCTCATCCTCTATAGGAGATAACGATTAAAAGGCTCAAAAAATAAGGAATAGTTTTAAAACTTAAAATTAAATTAAAGCATGAAAATGAGATCATGCGAAGTAGAACGAGCGGCAAATTTGTCTGGTAAATCTGTTAAGCATTTAAAACATTGTTTTATTATGGGGATAAATATTTTATCCCAACACTTGAAACATTTAAATAGGGTAATGGAACCAATGTCTTGTCCTTTACAAGTAATAATAAGAATCAAGTATTTAGTACAAAGAAAAGTTCCTTTATGGGAATCACATCGCCATAAATATGCAGCATAGTTTCAGCAAGAATAGAAAGTGTGAATCAATGTAAAATAAGTTCTTTTTACTGACCCAAAACCTCCCACTAGTCTGGGAACACCTAGAATCATTTCAACTGAAAACTTTAATATATGAAACCATATATTTCACTTTATAAAATGGCACCTCAACCTCTAAAATCAAATGTTCCTTAAATAAAATAGCAGACAAATCTATACTAATATTTATAATAACTTAAAATGGATCCTGCCAGATGGCACCATTCATATTGGACATATTATTCTGATTCTGGAAACAGAAAATTATTATAAGATTGATTCTGCATTAATTTGATTCTTATCTTTAAGCATGTACAGTATGTGTCTGTGGCCCTTAGTAATCTTGTAAAAGTGATTCTATAATTTAATTATAAGCCCTGCAAATTTTCCCCTCGGCCTTTCCTGAATTTCCCACTACTCAATTTCACAAGGTGCAACACTACCTGGGAAATTCTCCTTCTCCACTTTCTCCCCACCATGCACAAATTTATGTATTTCTACAATTCTCTCTCTTTTTCTCCGTTTTCTAATATTGTAATCCAGTTTTATCCACCTGCAGTGTTTGGGACTGCAATTCCCTTAAATCTGAAGTTGTGCCAGATTTTTTCAGACATTCCACTTTAAAAGGTCTCCACTTTTTACAACATTACAGTTATTATCAAGTGTCTACTTTTCTCAGAGCTGCAGCAAATCAGAGCTTACACAGCATGTGAACTGTGAACAGCTTTGGTTGTATGTTATTTTTAGATGCATGTGCATAATACTCATGCATGCATAATTGCAGTAGAACATAAAGCAGTCTTAACTTTATGATGAACCAACTCCTTTTGTTATTGCTTCTCTGAGAACAATTCTGTCAATAAAAACAAGTAAGGTGCAGAAAGTCTTTGTTTAGCCTCATTCAGTGACTGTTCAGTGATGAAACTAACTTTATAACCATTTCTTGCATTTACAACCTTCACAGGTCTGTATAGCAAGGGAAAAATGAATTAAGATCATAAGTGCAATTGCAGTTTTATTTAGTGACCACTTCGTTAAATGATCGAGTTGCCAGTCCCAATTGTGATCACTAAATAAGGGCTACCTATACTGGCAACATCAATTAAGAACTGGTTATTCTTTGATTAGATAGTTTTGTTCTTATAGAAATTGCTAGTTTATACTATTATGTAAAAATAAAAGGTTAAGGTTGATGTTAATATCTGATTTTACTGCACCAAAGAGAGTTGGAAGTCAACGCCTTTGCTTTCCTTTTCCTCCCTTTCCCTACATTTTTCCCTTCCCTACTCTCTCCCCTATTTTCCTACTATTTTCTTTTGTATTTTATATTATAAACTAGTAATAAAAAAGTGGTTATTCGTTTAATAAATTGAATATATTTTCAAAATGCCAGTGAGCTATTCCTCATTTATTCTTAAATCTAAAGATGACTGTAATATGTCATTTTGCACATCTTTTACCCCACAATAATATAAAAACTATGGAAAGAAAAAGATGAAAGAAGGAATGGAAAAACAGAATATCTTTGAATGGATAAGTTTCTATTAGACTGCTGTAAAATTCAATGACCAAGGAAAAGTGAAAAAGAAGAAAACTTGCCTAGATGTAGTTTTACAAGTAAAGCAACAGAGAATTTGTCACTGCCACTTGTTTATAATTTAATATGAATATACTAAGCACCTGCACATGGAATTATTTGATCTTTCAGGTACAGCATCAACGGAATGTGCCATTCTTCTAATGCAGGGGTGCCAAACTGCTGGCCCACGGGCCGGATGCGTCATGCCGAAACCGCTCCCACCCCATTGCCAGCAATGGAAAAAAGTTGAGATATGTCGCGACACGTCACGTGACGTTGCAAGTTTGACACCCCTGTTCTAATGTATACAGTATTCTAAGTACATAGAACTGTGGTGGTGCAGTGTTTAGAATGCAGTATTGATGCTAATTCTGCCAACTGCCAGGAGTTTGATCCTGACTGGCTGGCTGAAAGTTGACTCATCCTTCTATATCCTTCCGAGGTGGGTAAAATGAGGACCCAGGTCGTTGTGGGCAATATGCTGACTCTATAAACTGCTTAGAGAGGGCTGTGAAGCACTGTGAAGCAGTTTATAAGTCTAAGTGCTATTGATATTGCTACTGTATTGATTTGCACACAGCATACTAAACAGAATAGGGCAACATCTAGACAACAGTAATATGTTGTAAACCACACGTCAATGGTTGTTGGGGACATAATTAAGAGGGTGATTTTTTTGGTCTTGTTTTCTTTCTCCAGTTTTGTGGAAGTTTAGTCAACTCTGATAATAGCAGAAGGGTTGTGAAGGTGGTTGCAAATCAAAAGAACTATTTTGCCTTAGTATGGAGGTGGGGGAACCTTGGCTCTTTTATGACTTGTGGACTTCAACTCCCAGAATTCCTGAGCCAGCATGGCTGGCTCAGGAATTCTGGGAGTTGAGGTCCGCAAGTCATAAAAGAGCCAAGGTTCCCCACCCCAGCCTTAGTACATTAGTGAAACTAAGCCTAATGCAGACAACCCTAAAATTAAAGTAAATATGGAATTCTTTATAGGATCATCCAAAATGTTTATCTGAATGACAATCCTACTGAGTTCCATAGAAGTTACTTTCAAATGAAAACAGAAATGGAATTGGAATTATATTTTCATAGAAGTATGTTTTTAAAGCTCAATCCCCTCCCATTTTTTTACATATAATAAAACATTTACTTGATTTGAAGGGGTTGGACTAGAAGATCTCCAAGATCCCTTCCAACTCTGTTATTCTGATCAGGATTCTTTGAATGAAATCCTTAAAACAGATTAAGAGTGTCATTGCTATTATATAATTTGAACCACACAGGAAAGAAAATATTTTTGAAACAGCTTCTTCTAACCCAGCACTGCCCAACAATGGGCCATAGTAAATTTCTAGCCAATACTGAAAGAGATTAAACTTAATTTTCAGATTTAATATGCACCTCGTTGATCACTTTTCAAAGATGATTTTTTCCCTATGCCATTTAGCAGATTCAAGCCAGTTCCAAATCCTAAAATAATAACAATAATAATAGTAAAGTTGGAAGGGACCTTGAAGGTCATCTAGTCCAACCCCCTGCTCAGGCAGGAAACCCTATACCATTTCAGACAAATGGTTACCCAGTGTCTTCTTAAAAACTTCCAGTGTTGGAGCATTCACTGCTTCTGGAGGCAGATTGCTCCACTGGTTAATTGTTCTCACTGTCAGGAAGTTTCTTCTTAGTTCTAGATTGCTTCTCTCCTTGATTAGTTTCCACCCGTTGCTTCTTGTCCTGCCTCCAGGTGCTTTGGAAAATAGCTTGACTCCCTCTTCTTTATGGCAGCCCCTGAGATATTGGAACACTGCTACCATGTCCACCCTTGTCCTTCTCTTCATTAAACTAGACATACCCAATTCCAGCATCTGTTCCTTATATGTTTTAGCCTCCAGTCCCCTAATCATCTTTGTTGCTCTTCTCTGTACTCTTTCTAGAGTCTCAACATCTTTTTTACATAAATGGAAAAGGCAATTTGGGACAGGTTTTCATTCTGCCAGGTAGAGCAGGAAACCTTCAGGTTTTTCCTCTACTGATTATGGGTCTTCACAGAAGAGACCTGTTTATCCAGAGCTCCAGTAAAAAGTCATGGAATATGAAGAAAGAGAATGTAGGTCTAAGTGACACATTAAAGCTTGCAGAATACTCCAAAAGATGCTGGGGTCCAGTTCTAGAGTCTGGAAAGGATGTAACCCCCAGGCTGTGGTTACGAACTGATTTATGGGGAAAAGCATCAAGTCCATCCTTCATTGCAAACTTGACAATCAGCACCATACTCAAAGAGTATCATCATTCATACTAAGATATTAATTATTTAAATGGATTTGTTTGGCTTATTGGCTATTCTAATCAATAAACACTGAGCAACACATAACTCACTAAAACTGAAGTTTGGGTTAACATGGTAATCAAAAATTAAAACCCAAACAATGCAATGCAAACAATTATGTGCACCAAGAAGCAAACATTCCAAGGAACACCAATAAAATAGATGTTCATCCACAGACATAGTCCTAATAGCCCTGCCCCCAATATTAACGAAAGAAGCCAAATCTGCATTGAGCTTCTGAAGATACAAGGACATCCTGGTGTCCAGGCCATACTATTGCTGATGAGAAGGTGTAGCAGCTGAAAAGATAGGTTAGTCTCTGACTGAGGAAATATGTAAATAGCCTGTTCTACTGGATCTTACTGGGCAGATAGATGACTCCCCAAAATTATTCATTTTTAATTTATGTCCTATTATCAAATAGTTTTGGAAAAGCCTGTGGGCAATTAACAGCCACATAATTACTAAAATCAGTATAAAGCATAGATTGCATGTGCACAATTGCAATTTAACCAGCAATACAACTGAGGTTTGTGTTCCTTCCCTAAAACTATGAAGATAGGCTTTTGCTTAATGACACAGCACCATGTAGGATGATATAGTTCAGCCTTTCTTATGACAAATTCTTAAGGACACCACTTCTAATATGGGATCCAGAAGGGATCAAGAGCATCTAGTTAAAAAAGGTTTATCCAATATGGGATAAACTAGTATCCAATATGGGAATCTATGCATTTCTTCTCTTACAAAATAAATGAATTGTCCCTACTACTGAAACTTGCACATCTTATTGCAGATAGGGCAGGGGTCCCCAATCTCCAGTCTACAGCCTGGTCTGGGCCACGACCCATTGGGAACTTGGCCGCAGAAGTGGTGGGCATGAAGCTGATTAGTGAAAACAGCATATGTGAAACCATCCCCCCTCCCCCCCACCAGTCCACTGAGCTTGGGGGATGCTTTAGGATCTAAAATGGATTGCGTTCTCTTTTTAAATTGTGTATTTAGATGGCCAAAATAATCACGTGAAATTGTCCAAGTGAAAACAGTTTCATATTACATTTTTTATGATGCCCCACTGTCACTGTAAGTATTGTGGAAACCACTGTAATATAGCCAATTAATAATATTTGTTTCTGCACCCTATTCCTCAAGTGAAATGGAACAATGTATATCACCATTAAAAAAAATCCACCAAGCTTGCAGTATCTATTGCTCATTATAACACCTGTATTACCATTAGAAATAACAAGATTTATATCCACATTCTCTGTAGATATACAGAACGAGCTTCTGTAGAGCTCATTCATCAGAATACAGAGAAAATACATAAAGTAAATGCCAAAGTAAAATAAAATAAAATAAAAGTTTAAAAAATGCAATATGCAGGTGCCAAAATTGGCAAAAGCAATACTTACCAGGCTTGCCTTTGTTTTGGATTTGCAAGCAAAGAACAAGAAGCAACAAAAATGGAAGCAAAACAGAAAAAAAAAAGTCAAGGGATTTATTAAGAAAGCAGAAAAAACCGGGAGGCAACAATCTGTAATGCACAAAGCACAATATTCCTTTTAGTTCAACTATGAAAAAGGAAGCAGCATAATAGTTTTAAGTGGATGCGTTTGCTTTCAGCTTTCATAGACGATATGAATGAATGAATGAATGAATGAATGAATGAATGAATGAATGAGTGAGTGAGTGAATGAATGAATGAATAAATGAATGGTTCAAAAAGGTGGCAGCAGCTGTAGATACGCAATTCACTGAAAACGCAAATACAGTATAGTACATAAAGTTCAGCTTGACAAAATGCCATGATGTGCAACTCAAATGGTTCAAAAAGCACTCACATAATCTGTAGACTGAACGCAATGGGCAACATTTTCTCTGATAAACTTTTTTTTAATGGAGACAAGCATGCAGTAGAGGCATAAACTAAATGAAATTGAGGATTTTAAACAAAATTATATGAAGGCAGATGCTACCTGAAAAGTACATGCCAAGGAATTACCAGGAGATCTACAAACTCAGTCTGTTCAAGTTTCTGCCTCCTAATTATATCTTTAGGAGTTAATCCTTTTTACATTTGCACTGGAGCCATTGATTTTAGCAATACATTAGGGCACTTCTTTAACTCCTTTTTCTTAGCTCTCTGGCCCAAATCAGCTTTTACTAAAAAAGGTATTAGTTTAGTTCAGATTTATAAAGTGCTCAGAAGGATCTCTCCAGCTGTAAATATAAGATTTTTTTTCTTATTATTTCCCTTGCAGGATACCAATACTTGTCATAAGCACACTTCAGTATATTTTCTCTGCATATATCAGATGTTCCTGCTATGTTTCTAAATAGGTCAGTCACATGGATAAAGATTAGTTAGAAATAACCATATATGTAGCATTCCATTTCCTTTTCTGTTAGTATATAAAATACTCTTGTGCAGGAATATTTAAAGCATTTAAACTGAACTTCTGGAAGAGGATGGGATTAGCCGAATTCTGAATTTTTCACTAGATCTTAAAGACACTATAGAATTAGGACTCAAACAATACGAATCTTGTCTGGAAAGTCAAATTCACATTTCTTATATCTAGGTCACAGATAGCTTTTAGGCTGATGCTAAATAGGCACCGGCCAAGTATACCAAAGACCCTCCTTCTGAATCAATATAAAAGGCAAATCTTCACATCAATGGGAGATGGCACCTTCAGCAAATGTTGACTAAGGGTGCACCCAACTATGGACATCTTTAATTTCCATGAGCTATTCTTTTCTATTCTCAGACGCCAGGATCTGACTCAAATAGTCACTTACTGAAATAAAATCAACAATGATAAACATCTTTTTTTAAGAAGAAAAGCAGAAGAGAAATTCTGCTTGACATCTTTCTCTATAATGGCTATCCAAAAAATTTCAGATTCTGACACACAGCACCCAAATCACAACATATCACACAGCCGATCATTACGCAAAAACTAAACCTGCCATACACAAAAAAGATGTCGGAAATGACAGAATTCTCCAACCCCTAGGGATAACAATAGCCAACAAACCACAGCCATACTCCGTCAGGAATTATTCAGAACCAAAGACAGGACACAGAAGGATGAAAGGAACAATGTAATCTACAAAATCAACTGTAATGATTGCAACCAATTCTACATGGGACAAACATTCACGTCAATTAAAACCCAGGATCCATGAACACTGGGGCTGGCAGTCAAACGCCATGATCCCAAATCTTTAATCTCTACCCACACCAACACCAAACAATACCAGTTCGATTGGAGCAACATTAAAATCATCAGCTATGCTACTACCTGTCATGCTCGTGAGTTCATTGAAGCCTGGCAATTTCATCAATAGACACATTGACCCACAACCAGCCTATGAACCCCTCAGAATGCAAATCAACCGCTCAGCCAACCAGAGAGAGCACTTACCCTCAACCAAGTCACGCAAGCCCGCTCCCCCCATCAGCAGTTCACCTTCCAATAATCCTGACCTGGTGTAACCTCTCCATCACAAGCCTCCCACTGGTGACTCACACCTGACCCATCACAATACCCTCACTTGGCATACCCACATCTGAAGCCCTTGTAAACAGATCAGCACTGACACAGACATTCCCTAAACTCCGCTGAAGATGTTACCGAGCCTGGTAACGAAACATTTGGAAACCAACTCTCAAGCTCAGAGAACCAACCTTCACCCTCATCCTACACATGAGCTGCAGATATTTGCCACTATTGCAGATAAATCTACAAACTCTTCACAACTCCCCAGTAAATTAAATCACAGAACAATAAGCTATTGTTTTAATGTCTGCAATGCTGCTTAGTTCCTCCATGTTACATCTAAAGAAGACCCTTCATGAGGGAGTTGATTAGGTAACAGATCAGACAGCTAGCTAAGCTTCTGAACTTTACCACCATCTAAGAATGCTGTTTGACAGAGCAGCTCAATCTACTCTAGGTGAACTTTATAAAGGTGTAATCTTGGTTTGCATCTTTTCCAAACCATATACATCTCTATTAGTGCACTGGTATACTGTATTGGAAATATATCCTAGTCTGCATAAGAGGAATTATGCCTAGGTAACACAAACAAAGCTGCAGTATAAATTCAATCTTTCCCTGTAGTGTGATTAATTTAAAGTGATTTTTTTTAAAGTCGAGATGGCTCAATTTAATGTAAATGCTCTAGTGGAGAATTAGTATCATTTCTCCAAAAATTAATTATAAAAGAAATCTTTACAATTTGCAAGATTAACATCTCAAATGTTACAATTAAAAAAAATCAAACTTTCTTCCTATTTCTTAACCCGGGGGAAAATTAATACGCAAATTGAAATGCAAAGGATGAGCAAAATTTATGCATCTTTATCTCATATTCAGCATTTCTTTTGCAAAAATCACCTATATTATACATTGGAAACTGTTCACCAGAATATATTCTAGACATATGGAATTACAGAATAAAAATAAATGCTAATTTTGAATAAAAGGGTCATGTAAATATAAAGCCAGACATTTGGACAAAATTATGTTTCCCCTAACTTTGCATGATTCTGATTTACTTTTGACTCAACCGTATTATACACTCTTTAAACATTTTATTTATGTTTAAAATGTTTATGCTACTCTACTAAATGAAGCCTTCCACAGAAACCTACCAAACAAAATTCTCAAAACACATAATACAACAGAGTAATTTTAAAACAGTAATACTAAAAAACAGCAGCCTAAGTAATTAAAATATTTCCACATTTTACTTTGACGTAAAAATATTTATGAAGCTTAATGCTTTATACTTATTAGAATTGTACTGATGATCATATTTTGATATCTTCTTAGTACTAATAATTTAATTAAAATACAGTGTTTGGCAGAATATGATTTGTTCTGAGAGGCCAATGATGTTCAGAATTCTGCAATTTCTTAGGCCTAAATATTATATATCAGTATATGTTAAATGTTTTGGTAAAAATGTGCCATCAAAGCAATGACTATAATATATTTAGGTTTAATTCATAATTGACTGCTGTTAAATAAATATATTTTTCCTGGCATCTACTTGTCTTTACTTTTTTTATGAACAGTATTACAATACGTATGATGAGATGACATTCTACATTAAATTGATTCATACACACAACTAGGAATTACAGCAGGTTTACTCCAAAAGAAATATTGTAAGCAAGAAACAGGCTTACGTAAATAAGTAAATAATAGTAATTTCACAGTAGACTTCCAGGCATATGTAGGGACCTGCAGATGAGTTGGGATTCCCAAACCTGTTTCTTACATCATCTTTGTTCATAGCACCACTAATTTTCTATTATTGCATATTCCCTACAACAGAATAAGAACAAAATATTTTCTTTTCATGATAGTAAATACCTACCTATCATTTGAGCAATTGTCTTCTCATACTCTGAAACAATTTTCCTATTAAAAGATGGAAAGATATGAAAATGAACATGCATCCAAGAAATGGATTTTTCTATTGGTATCTCTTCTGTTAAAACCTTACAAATTAGCTCCAAAATGTATGACAGAATACAGTTGTTACAGTGTGGCATTTTTTAAATCAAAAGATTAATTCATAGACAGCTATGATGCTATTAAAACCATAATTATGCTATAAAATATAGACTATGACTTCCACATTGAGACTTGCTTTCTCAGTTTCTTCAGTACAAGATAGTTCTGTCATTCTGTGTATTAACTTGTGCCTTCTTATTAATGAAATTTTAAATTGATTTTGCCAGAAAGTGATAGCAGAGGGAAAAGATGATAGTTTCCGCCTGTTGGAATTTAATTTATTAATTTAATTAACAATTACATTCTGAGTTGCAGAAATGGAGGAAAAAAACCCTATTGCAATGTTCCAATTCTATGAAATAGCCCTAAACATGACACAAAACAAAACAACAATTCAAAAGTATTGCCTTAAACTTTAAAAACATTAAAGTTTTGAATTTGTTCTCCCAAGAAGGCTAGCTGATTAAATCTTATTTAAACAATTGAACTATTTATTTGAATTTTATAAGATATTGATAGATACCTTGAGTTAAGTTGTGGGGTTTTCAAACAGAAAGAGATAGAATATGTATTTATTTAATCTATTTTATTTATTGATTTGATTTATATCCTGTTTTTTATTCAGTAAGAACTCTCTTTCAACAGACCTATTTTGGTAATTTGAAGAGTCTGGTATCTGCAGTATGATTTAAAAATAAGGTATTTTTAACTGTCTCATAAACTTTAAAAGTATTGATTCATACAAAATTACACAAACCTCATTTCCATTACTTCCCTCCTACTGTCTTCATATTTCTCTTTCCATTCTGAAATCATCCTTTCCTTCGCAACTATCTTTTAAGGAAGAGAAGAAATAAAGTTGTATCAGCTTGAAAAAGTACAAAATACTTTGCCAGATAACACCCCAAGGATCGATAGAAAAGGATAGCAAGATTATAATTATGGCATTCATAGGGAAGGCAAGGAGGGCAACTGATGAAACGTGTACAATGATATTGTCATACAAACACTGGGACTTACCGTATTTTCCGGTGTATAAGACGACTTTCTAAACCCTGAAAATCTTCTCAAAAGTCGGGGGTCGTCTTATACGCCCAGTCGTCTTATACGCTGGAAAATACGGGTATTCTATTTTATTCCTTTACACATGTGGTTTGGCATATTACTCATCAAGTTTTCTCCCCCCCCCTCTATCGCTCAAACTCTATATTTTAACTGGAAAAGTTGGGGGTCGTCTTATACGCCCAGTCGTCTTATACGCCTAAAAATACGGTACATACTTGCGTTAGATGTCAGGATGCAAGTACATAATTGTGGCACATGTTATATCACCGTGTGCATGTCTTTTCTATGTCACCACTGTTTGCTACAGATGCCACTTTTATAAAATCAAAATATGTTGGCATTTCTCCCTCTTGCTAAGCTAAGACAAGGCACAAATATTAGCAAATTATACTTTTTCAAAAATCACAATTTATTGCAGAGAATTCCCCTTGGCTGGAGAATTCTGGGAATTGAAGTCCATTTGTCTTGAAGTTGCAAGTTAAGAAACCCTGTGAGCTGTACTCGTGTCTTTATGTGAATTTTATTATAACTACCTAAAGCTCTACCTAAATATGTAACTATATTCTAAAGCACACAAAACTATACCTAGATATAAAAATATCTGATTTGTTTACTATATTAGTTCTACAGAAAAAAACTTTGACCTAGGTCTTGCCAAAATTTTACCAAACTGTTCTAAATATATAAATAAAAACAAAATGATGCTCTTACAATAATCTTCTGTTTGGTAAACAAAGAAAGGCTGAACAGAGATTATATAATAAATATTCCAACCATACATGAGTTTCCTCAGAAAATAAGTATGCAAAATAGACAGGACATGGACCAAATTTGCCCAATCAACAGGGCCACTTTGCTATAATGAATTCTTGCTTGCTGTTAACTACTATTAACATATACTATTATATAAAATAATACATGGTTCCTTAATGGATAAGGAACATGCAATCTAAAGAAGGTAACTGTGGAACACATTCACTGAATTATGTTTAATGGATGAGGGAGAATTGATTCTTAAAAAAAAGAGGCCACAATGCTGGTATGGATCAGTAACTGGAAAATCATTAATTCATTCAAACCTATCATAATGAATTAATTGGAAGAACAAAGTTCAAAAAGCAGCTGCATTTGTAAAATGCCTACCAATAAACTGGCAGGGCTTCCTTGATTAAAATTGCCATTACCTCTTCCCTGGTAACTCTTAAGGCGGTATCCAGATCTTGCTGCTTATAAAGCAAAGTGGAGGCATTTTCTCCCTCTGAGCTGCTTATCCGTGAGTACAATGCACTTTTAGAGATCAAAGCATCAGCTGCAGAGTCTCTCTGTTCATTTCAAGGAAGAAACAGACAGTTAGTAAGTAATATGTTCCAGTTGTACTTTAGTGAACTATTTCAAAGGAAGTGAGAAAAGAATGCACTGTGAAAAAAAATGTGGAATTAATTAATTAAAGTATTAATCTGGGTTTATCATTAAGCTATTTCACAAGAGTTGCCATTACATGTGTGGTGATATACAGAATATTGGAAATTCCAATCTTTCTTACAAAGCACCATTTCACTGAACTTCAGCACCAAAAGTGATTACTAATGCTAGTTTTGTAAGCATCCCCAACATGATGACTTCCAAACTATACTGGACTGTATCTTTTAGAATTCTAAGCCAACATGAAAACTATGGCAGTTGGAATTTTTAAGACGCCCGAATGAGCTCAGAATGGGAAAGCCTGGTTTATATAGAACCTGCCTACTCAAATGCTTGAACATTTTTTTGCTGCTATTTCTATTCTTCATTAAAAAAAATCCTTGCTAAAATGATATCAAGTTCTCAGTAAGCAAAATACATCTGGACAACTTTATACAGGATGCAGCCTGACATCTACTGTGCTGTGTATTACTCACCATGCAACAACATGATACAAAGATCAGCAAAAGCAAGACAAATTTTATTTGAAGGTCAATAGCAAAAGAGAAGAACGAAGTTCTTTTGTTGGAACAAAGTATATTCCAACAAATACCGCAAAACATGTTTTCCACCACAATATTTAAAATGTTTATCATATAGTTATAGTTTTGGCTTATACTTTTTATTTGATATTAACTTTATTACTAAAAGCACAGAACAGCAGTTACCTAAATATAGTTCAACAGATGGTATAATAATTTAGGATAAAGTATGAAACTGTTGATGTGGATTCATTTTTATAAGAATGTGATCACAATATTAACAATGTATTTACTTAATATTCAAGGCACTGACAGATCTGATTGAACATTTTTTTAATTAAAATGCAATTATACTAGAGTAATTCATAATGATTGATACTTGATTCAAGCACCTAATCAGTGACTAAATAACATCTAAAGTCAAATAAGGCAAGTTTAAGCAGGAAACTATAAATTACAAATTCTTTCAACTGCAATACACAAAAGAAAACTAAGAAAATATTAGAGATTGGCTCTGCTATTTTCCTTACACAGAACTAATGCAGTTCAAATTTTCAGAAGCACCAAAATTATTTCCCACTAACTACCTTTCTTATATCATGTATGAACAAATCCACTGTAGATACTTGAACTAAATAATTTTTCTTATATCATGTATGAACAAATCCACTGTAGATACTTGAACTAAATAATTGCGAAAATATAATCTGACAAAAGGAATTTTAATCAGTTTTCTTATTTGTATAAAGCAGTGAACATCAGCAATGTACTGAGACTAAACATTTTATACAGTTTAATCTATTGTCAAGAGTAATTTTGGAAGCCGCCACTGCCTGATTTATGTTACGGTATATTTAGAATTTCACAATTTATTAAAGAAGTATAGAACAAATCAGTGAAGATTTCTTATAAATTCTTCATTATAAGAGATCAGTAAAGATACATAAGAGACTGAGCAAACTGTTTTAAGAGTTAATCAGTAACACTAGCTATAGCCAGACATATTAATTCAGTATTTTTTATAATAATATTAAAGTTAAGACGATTATCTATTATATAATTATATACAAACACAAGACGTGTTTGAGGATTTCCTTTGTATTACCTTTAGAAGAGAAGTGATCTGATTCATATTATTCTAGAACAGTGGTTCTCAACCTTTTTAATGCCGCGACCCCAACCGGTCGTAAGTCGACTAAACCGGTTGTAAGTCGAGGACTAAACTGGTAGTAAGTTGAGGACTACCCAACCGGTCTTACGTCGAGGACTTTCCCTGCCCGGGAGCGCCGCACATGCGTGGTTCCGCCCCCTGCGCCAGCTGAGGCATAGCTGGCAAGTGGCAGAGACGGAGCAGGCCGACCACCAGCTGGCCCAGCCCAAGGGAGGTAAGGCACCCGCCGGAAAAGGGGGGAAAAATGGCGGACAAAAAAATGGCAGACAAAAAAATGGCAGACAGCCTTGCTTGGCGACCCCCATGAAATGGTCGATCAACCCCAAATGGGGTCCCGACCCACAGGTTGAGAACCACTGTTCTAGAAAACCCCATGTGAAAAACGGGGTTTTTCATTTTTTGTAAGTTTTTACTTTTCTAAATATTGGGATACTTCTTCGTTTCAAAAATAATATACACGAAAATGTCTACTTTGAAATATTTATATAGACACTGACATATACAACTTTCTTTCTCTAAAAATAATAATAAAAACCCAATGGAATTATGATTTTTATATGAAACTGACATGCCCCAAACTAAGACTAATTATCTATTCTAACTTGCAGTTTGGGCTACTTTTTATTCTATAAATGAGAACTAAAATGTATCCTCTGAAAGACGTGGGAAATGAATCCAATATTATTCACATAAAAACATCATTATGAGAGTAAATATACTGATTTTGTAGCTGGCACCAGGATTATCATGAAGATTAGCAGGTTCACTATTGGAAATTTTTATTATGCATTCAAATAATTTGAATTCAGCTCTCATTTGCATGAAACCCAAAGCGGTTAACCCTAGCACAAAAATAATTAGACAGATAAAAATAAAAAATATTTGGGGGTAAAAGGCAATTTAGAAATAGATATGAAGCAGAAATGTTGATCCTTTAAATGAAGCAACTTAGCAACAAGATAAGATAAGATAAGATAAGATAAGATAAGATAACCTTTTTTGCCATTTTTATACTGTGGGCACGATGGCACACATCAAAAATGAAATTTAGTTGCCTGCTCTCAATGTGAAACACATACATGACACATACTATGAACAACATATGTATAGACCCACATCCCTACATATACATAGCAAATAAATATTAAATATTGTCCATCTTGAATATATAACGGAAGGAGGAAGTTTGAGAGTTCGCAAGGTTAATCCTGTATGGAATGAAACTCTGGCTGAATCTGGATGTTCTGCTTCGGATACCACAAAGCCTCCTCCCAGAAGGTAACAAGGAAAACAGGTTGTGAAGAGGATGTGTAGTGTCCCAGATAATCTTATGGACCTTGCTCAAGCAGTGCTTCTGTGCTATGTCCTGGATGGGAGGGAGGGAACTGCCAATGATCTTTTCGGCCATTCTTACCACTCTCTGCACCGCCTTCCTGTCTGAAGTAGTGATGCCTCCAAACCAGACTGTGATGCTGTATGACAGGATGCTCTTGATTGTCCCGCTGTAGAAAGTGGTCAGGACAGGGGAAGGAAGATGTGCTTTTCTCATGAGGCGCAGAAAATACAGGCGCTGCTGTGCCCGCTTCACCAGTTTCTCACTGTTGAGCAACCAAGTCAGCCTACTCGTTAGCTGCACACCCAGGAATTTGATGCTGGTAACTGTCTCCACAGGTGAATCATTTATGCACAGAGAAGTGTGGCTGTGCCTGCCTTTTCTGAAGTCAACAATGATCTCTTTGGTTTTTCCGGTATTTAAAACTAGGCTGTTTTCCTTACACCAGTTCACCAATCCTTTAACCTCCTTGCGGTAAGCTTCCACCTTGTCATCCTGAATAAGGCCCACTACTATTGTATCATCTGCAAACTTCACAATATGGTTGGTGACAAACCTAGCACAACAGTCATGGGTCAACAGGGTGAACAGCAGCGGACTTAAGACACAGCCCTGAGGAGAACCTGTGCTCAAGAAAATGGTATTAGAGGTATTTGTTCCAACTCGCACATATTGGGGCCTGTTGGTAAGAAAATCAAGAATCCAGTTGCACAAAGGAGTGTTTAAGCCTAAAAGGCCCAGTTTGTCTACNGGTCAAAAGCTGGCGAGAGGCTAGATACAATAGTGTCCTTTATCAGCTTCTCAAAGCATTTCATGATGGTGGATGTCAGTGCAACTGGACGGTAATCATTGAGGCCTGTAATTGTGGACTTTTTTGGCACTGGCAAGATGATGGCCATCTTAAAACACGATGCGACCACTGCCTGCTGCAATGAGAGGTTGAAAATATCTGTGAGAACACAAGCCAGCTCCTCTGCGAATTCCCTGAGGACACGTCCAGGGATGTTATCTGGGCCTGATGCTTTCCGAATGTTAACTGTCTGCAGTGGTTTCCGGACAGAGGTGACATCAAAGCTTGGCACTTGCTCATCAGGATGGGGCACTGCTTTCCAATATTTTCAGAAAATTCTATATACCTAATTTTCACTTATTTTTTGTCTACTGTAAGTCTATGTTGTTCTATTAGATCTACTCATCACTGATTTAACATGTTGACTATGGTAATGATTGCTTAAAGAAGTAGATCAAATGGTGCTTCCCAACCGATCATATTACATGGAAAGATTATGTTTAATTTAATCAGGGCAGCTTGCCCAAAAGCTTGTTTTTCAAATTTGCCAGAACAATCTCTTGAAAATTTTAATTAAGATAAATTACTTAACAAGCCATTCATATAATTGTATCACATCTTGTTGATTCATTCTGGGAAAATGCCCAGTAGTTTTGCAATGGCTTCCAGATGATATTAAGTTATTTAGATTCTACACTGTAGAAGCAACAAGGCTAGAAAAGAACACAATAAGCATTAGGCTGGTAATATGCAGGAAGCAGCTATATAATCTGCTTCATGTGATATTTCCCCAGTCACTGCAGCAGTCTCAGCTCAGCAGAAAATGTGTATCAGTCCTAGAGGTGGCTTACAATTTCTAGGAGGAATTAACTCTGGCTTTGAGAAGGAGATGTGTGAGAAAAACGGTTGCTCAGCCCAATGAAACTAGAAAGTATGAGAAAGAGACTTAAAGCAACTCATTCCTGAGTGTAGATCCTCTGGGAGTGGAAGGCAGCAGAGCTGTTAATACATCTAATAACAATAAAGTACCCTTCCTGGAATCCTTGGGGTGTGTTCCTTGACTTTGAAAAGTGGACAAATTTGTT